AGCAGTGATTGTGAGGGCCCAGCAAGTCATTTCACTCCCCCACCCTTCATCCCAACAGCCCCACAGCCTCCGAACAAGCTCTAAGGGTAGGCTCCCAGGCCAGAGACAGTCATGTTTCAGCAAATAAGGCCCCCAAGCCTGGGCAAATCATTTTACCTCCCCTGACGAGGGGCTGGAGCAGACGATCATCCAGGCTTCTTTCATTTCTTAGGTTGTGTGAAAATAGCCTGGACAACCAGTGGGCATGTTTTCTGCTTTCCACTCTATTTGCTAGTGCCCCCACTCCCCTACCCAACCTCTCACAGTTGCCCTTGAACCCCAAGTTCAATGAGAACATGGAATGTCTGCCACCAGCGCCGGAGGTCACCATGAGGCGGCCTTGTGACCCTGCAGGCATCTCCTCCCACAGCTCTCTCCGTCTGACAGTCCATTTTCTCTGCCTCCGCTTTCCTTCGGCCAATTTCCTAACAGGGCTTTCCTTAGCTAATCCCTTGGCCTGGTGCCTGTTACTTGTGTTGTTAAATGAGTATAAACGGCAAATTCCTTGAGCCTCCCTGGCCTTCCTTCTCAGAGACATTCCAATCCACGTCCTCTTGTAGCCAAGTCAGAGCTGCAGCCCCTGAGTATCAGGCTGTCCCGAGGCCACAGCCCCTGGCTGGGCCCTGGCTTGCAGGTAGGTAACTGGGATGTTGCGGGAGGCCATACCACATGTTGGGACATTTCTGTGCCTCTGCACACCATTTGGATCTTGAATAAAACAGAGAGACAAGATAGACGGATAGAAAAGCAGAGATCTCCTCCCAAATGCTGAGACATAATGTTCCTCTCACATCTTTCCAGGAAAGGGCAAGTGCTCCTGGGAGCCACGCACTTTCTAGGACAAAGATGTGTTAGTGAAGGCCCGGCAGGAAGAGGAGGAGGGGCAGGGAGGGTTTCCCTGGGGCCTGCCCTGCTCTTGCAGCCCGCAGCTTGGCCGGGGCCAGGTGGGGGCCCAGGGGGGCACGCTGCTGCTCAGAAATAGTCTGCAACAGCTCCCCTGAGTTATGGAGGCTGTTTGTGGAGCTGAAGGCCAAGGAGAGGAGGGAGAAGAGTTTAAGCAGGCCTAATTGCCTGTAGAGAGGCCTGAATCCCACTCGGGTGGAATAGCACTGGTTCTGGCTTCCGCTTTCAGATTTGCTCAGCCCAGAGAGTCCTTGCAATAAATAGAAGAGCTTTGGAAGAAGGCTTGCTTGTCAGAGCTGTGATGAGAGACTGGTGAGCAGACCCTTAGAAACTGGACTTTGCCCAAATCCCCTTCACCCACATGAACTATAGTGCCAAGGACAGCTAACCTGAGGAGGCCCCAGAATGCTGCTTACTAATCCTGGTGCCCTTGGGTAGGCCACACCTGACTGAAGGTCAGGCTAAGGGGTAGAAAAGTTCCACAGCACAGTATCGTGGCTGCGTCCTCATGGTGGGACCATGGGCAAGTCACCCAGTCTTTCTGGCCAGCTTCTGTCTTCCCAAGCTCATCTGCTCTGGCCATCGTAGGTGGACGACTGTTATTAAGATCAAATCTGTGAACATTTATTTGAACGTGAGGTTCAAGTACAGTTACTCACAGGGCCTGTCTGAGAAGCCAGTTCATGCTGTTGAATCAGATTAGTCATTGTGCCAGCCTCGATGTAGCCACCTATAGTCTGGAGCTTTTTAACAACAGCCTGTTGCTTCCACGAAGCCCCCCCAGGCCCTTCAGACCTGGCACATTAGGGCCTCTCACTTGCATTTCCCTTCTTTGTTCAGTGGTGCTGTACGACTGCCCGGCTCGGAGGCAGCTGCCCGTCCTCCAGGCTGAGAAGTAACTGTGGGAGTGGGCCTGGGCCGAAGCAGTGCAGAGCCCTATCTTGGATTCTGATTTTGATTTCAAGCTGGCAGCTCTCTGCCCTCTGGGCTCCTTCAAGGTGAAAGTCCTGGAGAACTTCTTTCCCACCTTGGATGAGCGAACCTTCCACCCTTCTCAGCTAAGGGTCTGGGCAGTCACAGGGGCGCCCATACCCTGACCTCCATCTTCAAGGGCAGCTGCTGTGCATTCCTGAGCTGGGCAGGAGCTGGAAGAGGCTGGGAAGGGGATGGAAGCAGCTCACGCTTTGTCCAGACCCCTTTCCTGAAGGACTGTCTTTCCACTTGGAGCTGGAATTCTCTGCCTTTATTTTCCCCAACAGCTGGGCCTCTGCAGGCTGCCCCTTGGCAATTCCCTCCCTGGAAGAACAGCCTTCTGGGGTGGGGGTTGGCTGGGGGCCCCTCCTACTCCCTATTCTTCCTTTGGGAACTCGCAGTGCTAAAAACAAGCTTTCTGAGAACCATATTTTTCTGGGTTAAAGGTGAAAAATGCAGTATTTCCTCCAAGTGGAAAGCACTGGGCCTGCCAGCTGCAGGCACATTTCCGAGATCTGTCCTCCCACTCAGGGAGGAGGCAGCTCCCTGCAAGGGGAGAAGAGCGGAGGCGGTGGAGGGGGAAGGAGCGGAGGGAAATGGGAAGGAAAGTGCCGGTCAGGGTTGCCGGCTCAGTGTGCGGGTGTGCGGGGAGCTGCGGGTCAGGAAACCAGAGGCGGTCAGGGAGCGGGAGCGCCGGTGCAGATGGCTGCCTCACGGGCTCCTGCGGCAGCGTGGGGACAAAGACGACCCTGCAGACCTTCCTGAGAGAAACCCCACGGTTGGGCCTGGAGGAAATACGTGGGGTTGTGAAAGCCAGTTGTAATAGGAAAAGCAAAAATATTCTCACCCACACCCAGTCACCCTTGCTTAGAACATGTGGGAAGTTCTGGGGAATTTTCTCAGATCCTAATTGTGGGACAGAAACTTTTCAGGAACCCATGCCTCACTATATCCTTCCTCCACAGGATGGGGATTGCCTTAACCTCCCAGCTCCCTGGCTACTCCCCAAACCTCTCTCCAGCCTTCTCCAACATGTCCCTCCCCACAGCAGCTCCCCCAGTGTCAGATCCAGATCCCATTTCCCACTGGTACCTCCTTCTCTGAACAAGACTGCTGCCAGGTGTCAGGCAACAGGTGGAAGGGGGGACAAGGGGACATGGGAGAGGGGGCTGGTGGAGGGGTGGGTGCTGCTCCCAATGGGCCTGGCCTGGCCAGTCTCTGAGAAGGTCACAGCCCCAGCCCCATGGCTTCCTGCAGAACTATTGTCATGGGGCCACCTCACTCCTATTGCACCACTTCTTTCAACAACATGTGACTTGTTGTGGTGGCTTGATTGCATTAATGGCCTTGATTTTTCATCCCTCCCTATAACTATGCCCTTTGCCAGATGACTTAGTACTTCCTCTACTATGGAGAGGAGTCCATGTCCACTGGAGGGGGAGTCTATTTCTTCATCTCTTGAATCTATAGGCTTTAACTATAGATTGCATGTGGCTGAAGTGCCATGTGGCAGTTCCAAACCTATCCCTCATCCATTATCATGACAAGGGCATGCTCACACTGGCCCATTGATCCCAGGAGGAGGAGGGACATACATATGGAGCCAACCCAATTCACCTCACCATCCCCGCTGAAGCCATCCAACCCCTACACGTGTCAGCAAGTCCAACTGAGACCAGCATTGCCCGGTCAGGCCCAGCCAAGAGCAGCAGAGCGGCCAGGCTGACCACTCCAGGCATGTAAGCCAGAGGCACTTACTGCAGCACGCCACTGAGGTTTTGTGGTTGTAACGTAGCGTCACTGTGGCAAGAGATAGCAGATACACCTAGAGAGAACACTGGGACACCACAAGCCCAGCCTGAGCTCTTCCCAGCTCCCCTGCCCATCAGAACCCAGATCTAACCCCGCAGCTTTAGGGTAAAGTTTTTATCCTCACCACCACCTCTGCTATAAACTCATCCCACTTCTGGTTTTTGTCCACCGAGAGGGTGAAAGAGCCCTGCTCCGAGCTTGGGACATACTCTTACTCTGTGCTCCAGCCTTGAGCCCCCACCTCATCATGCTCTGTCATCAGCCCCTCTTGGGTCCCTCTACTCTGCCACCCTCTCACCTGTAGAATCCTTTCTGGCCTGAATCCATCACCGTGTCACTCCGTCCCCTTAGCCGGTGGAGATCTGCTTCCCACCTAGCAGGGAGGTGGTTCTAAATATTTTTTACCTTCTACACATACTCCCAGGCTCTCATCCCTGTGTCAGTACATTTTTCTCTGAATAATACTTGCATGGAGCAACAACTCATCTGCAGGACAACTCTTCTGGCTTCAACTCAGCGGGATATTTTGCTAATATGATTTTTTTTGGCTGGAGGCAATCCATTCACAATGTGCTGTAAAAGCAGTTCCCTTATAGCTTGGGAAGCTGGCTCCAGCAGTCTCCAAGCAAAAGGTGTTGAAGTAAGGGTGGCCAGGAGGTGCAAATTGCACTCGCAGAGTGAGGTGTGTAGGGGAGGATGAATTACTGTTGTTGTTGCAATTATTACCATTATTCTTCTGGTAAGAAGGATCCTGGTCATCAAGTTTCCCAAAGAAGGGAGGCAGAAGGCTGAGGCACAAGGTGATCCTCTCTAGTTTATTTATTCATCTTTTAGAATTTTTAATGTGCTTAAAACTGGGTTTGCACAAAGCTCAAAGTCTTTGCTGAATGAATGCTGCACAAACAAGAGCAGTGTCATAACTGGGACTAATTATAGGCTCTTGCGTGACTTGGATCATATTTCCCTCTCTTTGGGGCAGCATTCATCTCACCTTTCCCTTAGCAAGTCCTGTCATGGGGATCTGCCAGTGAGCCACCTGTCGCCAGGGTCACTTGCGTGAACAGCAAAGGGGCCCAGCCAAGGGTAGGGAAGGAACAAGCCCTATTTCTCTGGTTCTTGCCCCGATGCTCAGACCATGGAGGCAGTCCCTCCACCCCACCCCCTGCAGCACCTTAGAGGCACTGGTTATGTTAGTGTCTATGGACACACAGCCTCTGCAAAATCAATAACCCTTCCATGAATGAATGAATGAATGAGTGAGTGAACAAATGAGCTCGAGCCTTCTTCATCCTCTTTATTCATGTTTACTACAGATATTTCCCCTCTCATAAAGCAAATTTGACAGCAACCCATCTCAGTAACACATCTTCATTCTAATCTGCTTATTTTAGAAAGTTTTATATCCATCCCCTTGAGCCATCAACATTTACCACAAGAGAATGGCCAGCTCCCCAAGTTGCCCACCCAAGTTACCTATCCCACTCCACTGACACCACAGAGGGCCCAGACAAGTCTGCATTGGGAGAAAACTTTAAGGAAAGTGTGCAAGAATTCAGAGTCGTCCACCCAAACTTCCAAAAGTATATTGTGTGGACAGTCGACAGCTATAAAAATATACACATACAAAAGTACAGCTACAAAATCATGGGGCCCATTCTCTTAGATCTGCATTATAAAAAGTAGGAATTTCCCCTTATAGGTAAATATTGGGGGGTGGCCATATTATGATTATGAGTCTAGGTTTAGTCTCCCCCATCTTTATTTTCATGGAATAGTCAGAGCATGTTGAGCCAGACAGTGAGGAGTGGAAGGAGTTAATCCGAACAATCCATGAGCAAAGGTGGGAAACTTGAAGTTCAAGGTCACACAGTCATTCTGCTGTCAGTAAGAGTACCATGAGTCAGGGAAGGAGAGAAGTATTTTAATACTGCTCTGTGGGTCTCCCTCATGTTCGCTTTTTAATGCACTATGAATCACAACACAGTCATTGAGCTACAGCAGACAGGCTCTGGAACTTGCATTGATGAGCGATCTCTGGCAGCCACTACACATTCAGTGGATGCACAAAGTCCGATGCTTCCTACACAGAGTATTCCGTTGGGTTTGGCCCACAGAGTGTCAGCAGGAACAGCTATCTGGGGACTCCTGTCTTGGTTCTCAGTTTCTCATCTGGGTGCACTTCTCCTTGATGAGAGGAAACACACCTGGTCCCCAGGCCTCTGTGTACAGCATCAGGCAGGGTCTCAGGGCCCCCAGGATTCTCAGGCTAGAAGGCTCTGTCCCTTGGGCAAGGCCAGCTGGTGTTACTTGGCTCCACAAGTATTGATGTTTTTCCCATCCACAGCATCTTCCACGAGGGAAATGTGGTAATCGGTGGACAGAGTGAAATGTGAGATGCAGCCCACGAGGCCTCTCATGTATTGTCTGTTAGTGTGCAGAGCAATTTCCTTCATGCCACCTGCCAGGAGGCAAGAGGGAGGGGGTGAGCCAAGGGGACGGTCAGCCGTGGGAGGCCGGGGTTCTCTTTGAGGTATTTGAGTGTCTACTGGCCAAGGTGTCCCTTGGCTGACAGGACAGTAAGGACTGTGGGCTTGACTGCTCAGGACAACACATCTATTTTATAATTATCCTTGAAGGAATAGGTTGACTTAGATCAATTTGATATATCACCAAAGGCTATAAATCACAAACCTCATGTGTGATTTGTGGCTCAATTGACCAACTTGAAACCAAACAGCATCTAGTGAATTTTGAAATGCTGTACAAGACGTCAACAAAATGTAGTACATAGTTAAGAGATGATGTCATTGTAAACCAGAAGAAATACACTTATGTTAAATGCTTCCAGTAAGTTCACTTGCAGAAAATATATGGATAAAGGTATGTTCTCATTTTTTTGTGTCTGCCCTAGTGGATTTACAGAAATACTACTCATTCTATTCTGAGAGGGGCCAGAAAGACAGATCCTCCTTCCTTAGAATTCATGGAGCTATATTTAGCAGGTTCCTGTTCTATAAACAAGAAAAGCATGGTTTTCCTGATGGGTTGGTCCAAAGTACAAAAGCGACTGAGTCCCTTCCTACCCCTCAGCCGTGAGTCAGAAGTTCAGCAAAAGGAAGAACGGAATATCTGGAGTGCTTCCTGATTTCCAGGTATTTGACTGATCCAGTGAAGTGGGCAGTCCTGCGTTACAAATGCAGGATTAACCAAAAAAAGCAATGGCCTAATTTAGATTTGGTCAAAGGTCACTTACCTACATACAGAGCCCCATTGATATTCAGCTGCCGCATCATGCCGGGGGACCTGCCCGTTCTGGCTCCGTAGTCATCGACAGTTATCTTCCCTGACTGACCATCCCTGTAAAACGAAACAAAACACAACCGAAAACAAAACACCACCATTTTTGTAGCTCATTCAATCATTCATGTCATTTTAATAAAAATATATTGGGGCCGGCCCGGTGGCACACTGCTACAGTGCACCGCTTGGGAGTGCGGCGGCGCTCCCGCCGAGGGTTCAGATCCCACATACAGACCGGCCGCTCACTGGCTGAGCGAGGTGCGGGAGCAACACCGAGGGTTGCAATCCCGTTGCCAGTCCCGGTCCGGTACGGGCGTGACACTGAGGGTTGCGATCCGTTGCCGGTCACGAAAAAAGACAAAAAGAAAAAAAATATATATATATATACATATATATATATTAAAGCATCTACTATGTGCCAGGTACTGTGCTAAAAAAAAAATGGGGCTGCAAAAACTAAAACCAAAAAAAACAAATTCCAGGTCCTCAGGGGTTTATGGTCTATCGAGGAAGATAGAAAATCAAATGGCGAAGGACACACGGTGCGGCCCTGCTGTGGTGGAGGAAGGCGAGGGGGCTGTGGTCGGGTAGCAGGAGCCTCTGCCCGGGTCTAGGCAGGGGCCACTGTGGGAGAGTCGGTGCGGGAGAGCCCGAGGAGGGGTCCGTCTGAGTTCTGGGGCTGGGGAAGGCTGATGCAAGCCGGGGAGCAGCAATGGTAGAGAGAAAAGCTGAGAAAGGAAGTAAATAAAGAAAGAAAGAAATTTTTTTAATTAAAGAGAAAGGCTGAGGCCCGGTGCAGGCCGAGCACAGAGAGGTCGCTGCAGAATGGCAAAGGATGGAGCCGGAGCAGACGGCGAAGGGCATGGCAAGGAGTTTGGAATGATCCTGAAGGTGAGAAGGAGCCAGGGAGGAGCTTTTGTTGTTGTTGTTGTTAAAAGATGACCGGTAAGGGGATCTTAACCCTTGACTTGGTGTTGTCAGCACCACGCTCTCCCAAATGAGCTAACCAGCCAACCCTATATGGGATCCGAACCTGTGGCTTTGGTGTTATCAGCACCACACTCTCCCGAGTGAGCCACGGGCCAGCCCGCAGGGAGGAACTTTAAGGTGAAGCTAAGAGTCGGTGAACGTGATGGTGACATGATGACGCATGGTAAGCTTGGATGTTACTCTAAGTACAATGGGAAGCCAGCAACACAGTTTTCCTAGGTAGAGGATCAATCTACGGGAAGGAGAAAAATGGCTTAGGAGTTTCTAAAGGACCCACAGAGTCCAGAACTGATGTGAAGACAGGTGAGGGGAGGTGTTCATCTGCAGCAAGGGCTTCACTATTTCCTAAGCTGCTTTCCAAACCCACCCAGCCCCGTGAACATTGCTCAGGCAAACACGCCTGCTTCTGCAGCACCGGGAGGGGAGCAGCCCCGGCCTCACTTCTGGGCAGCAACGCTTCTAGCGCTGAGCTTCAGAGAACTTTCTCCTGTTCTGTCCTCACCCTTGGGACCATGCACTGTCCCCCACCATATTGGAAATGCTTTCTTAGAATCTCATACCTGAGGGGCCGGCCCGTGGCTCACTTGGGAGAGTGTGGTGCTGATAACAGCAAGGCCACGGGTTCGGATCCCATATAGCAATGCCCGGTTAGTTCACTGGGGAGAACGTGGTGCTGACAACACCAAGTCAAGGGTTAAGATCCCCTTACCAGTCATCTTTTAAAAAAAAAAATCTCATACCTGAATGCCGTGACAGGCAACAGCTTGCTTTGCTGCCTGCTCTTTTGTTCTTTATTATTACTCTAAAATGTTTCATTTTTTTTACTTACTCTACTCCATCGATTCTAAGAATTTTTCTTTTCTTTTTTTTTAAAGATGACCGGTAAGGGGATCTCAATGCTTGGCTTAGTGTTGTCAGCATGATGCTCAGCCAGTGAGCGAACCGGCCATCCCTATATGGGATCCGATCCTGTGGCCTTGGTGTTGTCAGCACTGCACTCTCCCGAGTGAGCCACGGGCCGGCCCTAGAATTTTTCATTTTTTATATTGCTGAAATGAAGATGTCTTATAATCAATGGCATCATAGATTTTTTAAAATGTGGTGATACCTCCTAAAATAGTACAAAATGTACTTCTTCCTCCTGTTTATTACTTATTGTCTGTTGTAAGCCCAACAAGACAAGGATGTTAGTTTTATTCAATGATGTATCTCACGTGTCTGGAGTGGCAGATGGCTCATAATAGTAGATGAATGAACAAGTGAATTTGTGGAGCTTCAATATCCTCCTCTGAAATGGGAATAACTATGTCCATCTTCCAAAGCTACTGTGGAGATCAGATATTATGCATGCAAAGCAGAGCATGGGGCCTGATACGTATCTTGCTCTATAAAAACTGGTAGAGAGGCCGGCCCGTGGCTCACTCGGGAGAGTGCAGTGCTGACAACACCAAGGCCACAGGATCGGATCCCATATAGGGATGGCCGGTTCGCTCACTGGCTGAGCATCATGCTGACAACACTAAGCCAAGCATTGAGATCCCCTTACCGGTCATCTTTAAAAAAAAA